TTTTTTGGGGGGGGGGGTGCCGGCTGGTAGGTGTCGACCAGCCGATCCGTTGGCGGGTTGGCAGCCGACCAGTCAAGGGCCGCCGACCGTCGGGGGTGCAACCTTGGTCCAAATTTCAAAAAAAAAGAAAAAAAAAGAAGGAAACGGCAAAGGAGAGTTCCGCAAATTTTGCAAGCTTTAATGACAAACGAGAGCAGGTCATGTTCAGTTTCCCATGAATAGACCTGCCACAGGTGGGATGGATTCCTGCCACAGGTGGGACTGATCCCGGATGAAACACAAGGCCATGGGTCACTTACCCTTGCATGCCGGCAAATCTTAGCAATTCTTGTACAGTCAAGGCAGCGAAATGGAAGGCTCGAGATGCGACAACATGGATTGATTCCATGGAAATTTTCATATCTACCAGCAGCTGGCAGCAAAACGAACTACGTCGAAATTCACACGACAAATATAGTTCTCCTCGATTGGTGAAGTCCTAAGCTGTCAAATGAGGTGCCATTATTGTGGGCCCCCTACATTCGAGGGGATTCTGCATCTTGGCAGGGCTCAATGACAGCACCTGCACTGAATTACCACTGCACACAACCAACCACAAGCAGCCTACACACTGCTTGCTGAAAAGCACGACTGCAATCAATAAATTTCTCTTCGTTTCTCTTCCCTTGTGGGATTGTGACGAGTCCCATGCCACAGCATGAAATCTAGTGCGGCCAACCATTCATTCAATTCAAGACTCCAAATTTTGTCAACGCTTACAAGCATCGAAAAAGCCTTTTCTGGGTTAATAAAGCTGTAATAAGGGGGGCTTACCCCTTTACATGGGTACCTACCATGGAGTATAGATTGCCATTGCCACGGAAAAGGACATGGACATGGGCACCATTGGCAGTCTGACAGGATTGGCATGCTGACGAGAATGCACCTGCTGTTGTCCCCACACACCGCAGAGAAGAATGCTTGCTCCCCGCCGCAGGAGCCTTGATTGGGAAGAATCGACTATACGACCATCCTGCTGATCCGCCCGAAAGCTTTTCTGTCATCGTTTTATTAATGATTATTAGTATCTTTTATGGTGCACCTCAAACCTGATTCACTGCTGTCTATCCAATCCCCAAAACCGAGGGCAAAACCCTAACCGACTTTTCCCACCACAGGAGTTCATGCTAACCATGCATCCACTGTGCTCTACCAAGCCGAATCATTCTGGACAATCCATATCCATCACTTCAATTTACAACAGAAATCCCACGTTTCTGCCTCTCCTGGCACCCAGTTGTATTACCTGACCCCCCCGCCCCCAAAACCCCAATCCCCCCCATTGTGACAGTAAAGACATGTGATTGAAATGTCTCTATCACACACAAGTATCTCCTCTCCTTCAAATACCTCTACTCCAAACTATCGATATGATGAAGTGATATCTGAATCCTTCTCAACCTCTTTCAGCCTCTCTCTCTCTCTCTCTCTCTCTCTCTCTCTCTCTCTCTCTCTCTCTCTCCCCCCCACAGATGTATATGCATGTATATATATCGTCATAATTCTGTTTCGCGTTGAACCTGCATGTTTACCGTCTCCACTTTACCTACGCGCATTTAATCTATGCACACCTACATGACCCTATCAGAAGTTACTACCAGAATAATAAGAAAGGACTTAAAAAAAGGATATGCATAAGCCAGATATCAAATGTCGACACCAATACCTCCGTCTTTGTCACTCCACATCTCAGCCCCTCTGTGCAATCCACTCTCTGGGCCACCTTGGAAGCTATTGGAACCATGCCGGATCGGATAGGTGTCACCGAATTCGCGAGCACCACTCCTGTTGATTTCCAGCGTACCAGGACTTTCTGCAGAATCTCTCCGCAGTTCCCCCCACCTGTTAGAACCTGGATCACGCCCCACGACAACCCCCGTAGGGCCCCTATTATCTAGTCTACGATCAGCTCCTCTCCACGCATGCGACTCTCTCACCATTTCAGAACCTATGTAGTTTGTACTCTCATTCCTACGAGTGGCAACTGGTTGAATCTCTGCAGCTTTCCCCCCTCTTGTAGACCCTGCCATGCTTTCCATCCCTGGACCGCCGGGGTCTTCGTCGAGAGTTATTTCTCCATCTGCCGAGTAATCAGCAGCGCTGGCAGCTTGGGTTATACTACCCTTAGCCGTACTCATTGGCGGGGGACCCCTGTCTCTGGCAATGGTTTGCAGACTACTGTTCCCAGACCGTCCCGACGGAGTGCTAGCCCGGGCCCGGCGATGTCCCTCATCACCTCCCACCTGGAACTCCAACCCCAAACCAAGCCCTAAGGAGTCACCATCTGCGGCTATGCTTTCTCTCAGCCGTTGGATGCCCCTGACCACCCGCACACCTCGCTCCCAGACCGGTTTACGAATCTCAGCGACAGATCTGGACAATGGTTCGTTGTTCTTCCCACTACTAAAAGACCTCTCACTAATGCCTCCGCCCTTCTCCAATCCCCGAGTTTGCAACATTGACACATTGTTGCTCATAACTGGATGTGATTCATGCCCACGCCCAATGCCTCCTGCTGACACTCGGGGGTTGTCGAGTCCAGTAGGCCACTTTGCAGTGCCGGACCCATAGCGGCCAATGCTTCCAGACAAGGTAAGACCTTCACCAGACTGACCTGGCGGGTCCGCATTTGCATTCAGATATTGTGCGGTGGTCCTGCCATTGCTCCACTCTCCACGGCCTTTACTTTGCTCGCTCATCCCCTTGCCATGTGAACGATTCAAAAGAAGCTTGTCTGGACCGCGCTTCTTTTTCTCCAGTTGCACAGCATGCTGGTGATCACCTGCTCGCCTACCATCCGCATGCTCATCATCGGACATTGTAATCGTCCAGAATTCATCGTCGTGCGATCCCACACTGAACACCTCATCCAAACTCCGTGCCCTGTGATGGCCGTGTGCCGGAGTCGAACCGGTTGCGCGCTGCTGCATCGGGATAGGGGTTGAAGTCAGGGATGCTTTCCCCACAGCAGTTGTCCTGCTGCTGCTGCTGCTATTGAAAGAATGGCGAGAAACGCCTCCGCGTGGCACCGATCGTCTTGCTAATCGAGCTATCGAAGCATTACAGTGCAGCAGTGGCAGAAATGGAAGTATGGACAAACAATGACATCAAGGGTTAGAAAAACCCATGTGAACACCAGGATGGATGCCACACACTGCAGAAAGTGATATTCAAACGATTGACATCGGAAACCATCTCAACAAAAGCGTCAACTTCCCTGCACGAAAGGACTCATGACACTCCAACGACAAGGGAAACATGACGAAGTGCAACCCACCACATCAGCGTGATGCCAATTTCACCACCTTTCCTGCAACGAAGGACTCACACACGAAAGGGAAGGAGAGAGATGTAACGATATGCAAACCACTACATCAGAATTGATGCCCATTTCGCCGACGGACCCACCTGCAAGACCGCTTGATTTCAAATCACTGACCAACAACTCAAGTCAACAAGGTGACCAGGTGGGGGAGAGAGACACCGTCCAAACAAAACTGTCAAGCTTGATTTAAAATCTCTGACCAACAACTCAAGTCAACAAGGTGACCAGGTGGGGGAGAGAGACGATGTACAAACACAACTGTCGCTAACCAATGATGACAAAAAGATTATCCATGGCTTGGCATCCGGGACCCAACACCCCGTGATCACTATGGTGTTCACGTCACATTATGAGCAAGTGACGCAATGATGCAAATGTTGCATCGCATGCCCAACAGTAATGATGCTTGGGCTGTCACTGGATGGTGGCAATATGTCATGCAATTTTGAATCACATGCCGGACAGTCACTTATCTGAACACTGGGCAAATTGTCACAGGAATGCTGCAAAACATACCAGTGCCACAAATGCTCAACATCAAGTTGAGAGGGCCAGCACTGCAAAGATGTAGACTGGAAGGAAAGGGATGACAACACATCAGGCTAGAGCACAGAGACTGCAATATAATGCCTGATGTCCACACACTGCAAGCTGCTCTCCTCCAGCAGGTGCATCCGGACCTCAACTATGGCCACCAGCAACATTTTCTCCATCTATCTCTCGACTCTATCTTATCTGAATCTAATATCTATTATCTTATTTTAACTTCGGGCAGAGATACAGATCTAATACGTCCTCTTGTGAAGATCCTAAATTCTTAACATATTGCTATGAGACTATCAAGAGTAAGCCTGGTAACATGACTCCTGGAAAGGCACGAAGTGCTCTTGACGGACTTGCAAAAGTTTGGCTTACTCACTCTCTATCTATACATCCATCTGTTTCTCTCTCTCTCTCTCTCTCTCTCTCTCTCTCTCTCTCTCTCTCTCTCTCTCTCTCTCTCTCTCTCTCTCCGCCCGTCCCTCCTTCCCTCCATGTCCCTCCTCCGCCCATCCGTCTATCTCTACCTCCCTCCCCCCCTCCCCCCCTCCCTCCCTACGTCCCTCTCCGTCCATCCATCCATCATATCTTATCTATCATAGCTATCTTCCCCTCCTCCAGTGTACACCATGCTGGTTGACATATCCTCCGCCCCTATGCCTTCGTGTCAAGTAGCCTTACTCACTCGGTCAGTCCCTACCAGTGCTCAAGCATCATCTATCAAACTTTGAATGTCTTAACCAGTACATCCTGTTCTCTGCCCTTGCGGTCTGGTCTTAACCAGTACATCCTGTTCTCTGCCCATGCTGTCTGGTTATCCTACAGCCTCCATGTGATTGCGCCAAGATAATCCTGCTCCACACTTAAGACCAGCCCATCATGACATACTCTCTGGAAGGACCTGGACCAACGAACATAAGAAGTATTGAAATGCTATGTGAACCTTGGCCTGAATTTCATGTACTTTATATCTCATCTATCTTATTTGTCTTCCTCCAATGGATCATAAGAAGTACTGAAACGCTACGTGAACCTCGGCCTGAATTTCATGTACCTTATCTTATTGATCTATCCTCTGCCCCTCCAGAGTACATAATGCTGGTAGACATACTGTTCCTTCGCCCCTATGCGTTAGCCACTTGGTCACTCGCTACCACCACCCAAGCATCATCTATGAAACCCCGAATGTCTTAATCGGTACATCCTATTTTCTACCAGAGCAGTCTGGTCATCATGCCATATAGTGTCTAAGAGGCACCTGTACCAATGAATCCAAAGAACGGAAATGCTATGTGAACGTGTGGCCTGAAGTCTTATTCCTTGAAAAATGTAAGACGTTTGAGCAGCATCAAGCCATGATCCTGTCTACAAGGCAGAATCCCAAAGACCAGTTCCTGGCAACAACTCTCTACTCTCCTGCTCCTTGGCTTAAATGACCACTGCCCCCAACACATCCCAAATGTGATGGCAGTACATGCATTGGCCTACTGGCCGGGGGCGGGGGGTCCGCAGCAGTGCACAAAATTTCAAGTGCACCAACTTCGGAGATTTTTTGTGCTCAGAAGTTTTAGTGAAAAAATCCGGAAAAAACTCCAGTACGTAGATTGAGTGCTGATCATTTTGAGACAAATATCAGAAAAACCAAAAACAAATCTGGATCATGGCTATCATGCAGACATGCAGACGGGTGTCCACACAGTCTTGGGTTTTGAGTCTGGACACCGGACCATTGGAGGACCAGTTGTGCAGACCAGCTGCACCAGCCTCCAGTGTGGCTGCCCGCACTGTGCCATTGGGAAGAGCACAAGCACAAAAAATCCAGGACGTAGATCGAGTGCTGATCATTTTGAGACAAATACCAGAAAAAACAAAAACAAATATGGATCATGGCTACCATTGAGACATCCAGACAGGCGTCCAGACCGTCCTGGGTTTTGTGTCTGGACACCGGACCGTTGGAGGACCAGTAGTGCAGACCAGCTGCACCAGCCTCCAGTGTGGCTGCCCACACTGTGCCATTGGGGAGAGCATAGTGGGTTCAAAGGAAAAAGTAGAGAGGCACCGAAGCCCTTCTACAACCTCTTGTTGTAGAATTAGAAAAGGATGTTGGTCGACCGTACACCTAGAATTTTGAACACAGAGCAGCTCCCCTGGCGGGATTCAAACCGAAAACCCAATAGATAGGGTAAGCAGCGAGTGCAACTTTGACTGAGCTTCCTTTGGAACCATGCGGGCAAGATTTCCAAGCACACGGCTCTCCATCACTTTGTCAAGACTCAAGACTACTGGCTGTTTCCCTTCCATTTTCATCTACCATGGAAACTCTGACACCGCTGCCGGCACACGGAAAAGAAGCAGAAGTTGAAGGTGTTTCTGAATTTTCTAGCTGGAGGGAACTTCTTTGCACCCAGGATCATCTTGTCGCTTTCCCACCAACAAATTCGAACACTCCCTGCCTCCATGCCGCCTACCACATTCCAGCTGCTGCACTCACATGGTTCCAAATGTGTCCCTACCGCTGCGTCTAAAGCTCTATCCCACTACTTCTGGACCTATCGTGACTCTATGGCCCCTGGTTCCGAACCTGTTTCTCCCCTTCCTTTCTTTCCTCTCTCCCTCTATTTCCAAATATGTCCCTCCCCTTGCTTCCAAACCTGTCTCCCAATTTTTTGAACCTATCCAGAATGTTTGTCCCCTAGTTTCAAACCTGTCCGAGGGGGTCCCCTCCCTCGTTGTGTTCCTCTCTCCTCCTACTTTCAAGTCCTGCTTCTGAACATGTCTACTAGTTCCCAACCTGCCCCGATTCTATGTCCCGTGGTTCCTAACTTCTTCCTCCCCCACCTAGACCTGTTTCTTCCCCCTCCTTACAAACTTGCCTCCCCCTACTTCTCAACCTCTCCCGCCGCTTCTGCAGGTAATTTCAAACCTGTTTCTCCCTCTAGTTCTGAACCTGTCTTTCCCCTTTTGCAACGCGCAGGATTGTGAGTGTGCGCGTAAGAAAGAGAAGGACAGAAAGAGGGAGGGTTGGGGGGGCAAGGGTGGAATCTGACGAGACATCAGGTTCGATGTTCTCATACAAGTCTGCGCCTTTCCCCCTGTTCTTTGACGCACAGGATAGCAGAGGTATCGAAAGATAGTTTGCAAACATGGGTCTGATCGGTGACAAAGCGAACAGAAGGTGTGAGTGCCTGCACTGTGGCCAGCATATCACAGGTACTGCAGCGCAGTTAAGAAGCCACTTGACAAGGGGGAGGTGTATGGGCCAGGAACAGATGGAGACGAGACTGGCAGGCCAAAGGGAGGAGGGAGAGAGAGAGAGAGAGAGAGAGAGAGAGAGAGAGAGAGAGAGAGAGA